AAAACAAACTTAAGTAAATGAAGTAACTCACACCTAGGATCTCTTTCTCAACAGATTGTTCAAATTATTCAATTTTTACATGTGATGATATGTAAATAATCGAGAATCATGAGTGGTTAGAAAACAGTCTGCTGTTTATTTACCAAAAGAATAAAAATCTTTTAAAAATATGGTAATAGTTTTATTTAAGCTTCAGTGTTAAATATATTATACAAACTGGTATAATCACCACATTGTTACCATCCTGAGTCAAAATACAAGGTGAGGAACATTTAAAAAAAATAATTAAAATGTGTTTACAGTAGCCTTTATATTCAGTAAGGATAAGCCCAGATATATGATTTTTTATTGCCTCTCTAGCATGTTTTTTGTGTAACACTTAGTAAAATAATTCAAGCTAAAAAAAATTCAAGCTAATTCTTCAAATCTTTACTATTTAAGTCTTCTCATTAATTTTTCTAGAATAGCTTGCTTTTAACTAAACATAATCACTTGTTACAACCTCTGCTATTATCAGCGTTCACAACTGGCTTTCTTTTGAAAAAAATTTTTTTAATGATTAGGAAAGTTATTAGCATCCACAGGAATTACAACATGTGCCATGAAAAGAGAAAACAAAGATGGATTGAAATTTAGACTTCAGAGTGTGACCTTAGCTACGCCCTATTTCCCAGAGCCTGCTAACCAGCTCTAAACACTTGTCTTTACTTGTCAGGAATCTTGAGATATGTTGTCCTATAGTCAAAACTGAATGCTAACTCTAGAACTTCTAAGGTCTGATTATAGAATTTTGTCCTATTAAATATATTTATAATTTCTATTTTAATACTAGAAAATGTACAAAATTAAATTGGATTGTAATGTTTTATCTTTCATGTATACCAACATTTAGTTTGAAATGTAAGAAACTTATGGATAATCATATTCCAGTGCTAGAAGCACAACATAAATTGAAGCTAACATTTATAAGGAAGGCTGAATTCTGAAGAGGTGATGCTTTTGAAATATAGGATGTTGGGGAAGAATAATAAATATACCATGGACTTCCAGATACGCCAAATCTGTGTTGGAAAAATTACGGCCAGGGTGCGCCTCAGATGTGACAATGGCTAGACTTGATCTTAAGAACATTGAACGTGTTATCAGGAGGAACTAGTCCCTGAAGAAGGACATCATACTTGGTAAAGTTGCATCAGCAAAAAAAAAAAAGCGACTTCAATAAGAAGGACTGACATAGTGTCTGCAACAATGGGTGCAAACAAAAACTAGGATTTTGAAGGGAAGTATTTTGTTCTATTGGACACAGGGCCTCTGAGTTGGAACTTACTGGATGGCACCTAAAGGCAACAACAACAAAATTATACTGTGGAAGTGTATAGAGTAAAACAAAATAGCTAGCTAGGTAGGTAGAAAGAAAAACAGAGAAGTAAGGTGGAAGGGAGGAAATAAAAAATGCAGGGGCAGACTACGTATGGCCAAACTGTTCTGATTGTGGCTTTTTTTATATTTAATTTTTAAAATAAGTCAGCATTAGCATTGCTGGAGTGAAATGGATCTTGACTCAAAGCAGAGAATGCAAGAAAGATGTTTACTTGTTTTTCATTGACTACATAAAGAAATTTGACATATAGATCAGAATAAACTCATAATAGCCTAGAGAAGAGTGGGAATTCCAGATTATTTCATTGTGTTCATACAGAACTTGAACAAGGATCAAGAGTCAGTTGCGTAGAAAGAACAAGATAATATTGCATCAGGGTTGTATCCTCCCCCCATATTCTTATTCAATCTCTATTCTGAGCATATCATCAGAGAAGCAGGATTATATGACGACAATGTGGCACAGGATCAGAAGAAGTTCTTAGTAACAATCTGTGATATGCAGATGACACAGCTTTGCTGAAAGTGAGGAAGACTTGAAGCACTTACTGATGAAGATCAAGGATTGTATCCTTCAGTATAGATTACAATTCAATGTAAAGAAGATCAAAATCCTCACATCATGATAAATGGAGAAATTGTCAAGCATTTTGTCTTGCTTGGATCCACAATCAGTCAGTACTCATGGGAGTAGCAGTCAAGCAATCAGAAGGTGCATTTCATTAGGTTATCTGCTGTACAAGACATCTTTAGAGTATTGTAAAGCAAGGATGTTATTACTTTGAGGACTAAAGGTGCTCCTGACCGAAGTCATGGAATTTTCAAGTGTCTCACATGCATGTGAAATTTGGACAGTGAATAAGGAAGACTGAAGAGAATGGATGCGTTTGAACTATGGTGCCTGAGAAGAATACTGAAAATACCAAGGACTGCTCAAAGGACAAACAGATTTGTATTGGAAGAAGTAATGCAGAGTGCTTCTTATAGGCAAGGATGGCAAAACTTCTTACATAGTTTGGAAATGTCAAGAAGAACATCGTGTTTGGTAAAGTAGAAAGGCTACGAAAAAGAGGAAGGCCTTTAAGGAGATGGATTGACACACTGGCTGCAACAATGGGCTCAAGCATGGGAACAATTGTGAAGATGGTATATAGGACAGGGTAGTTATTCTGTTGTGCATTGAGTCACTATAGATTGGAACCGACTTGACAGAACTTATAAACAATGACAGCATTAACAATTAAATATAGATATAGCTATATATCATATATCAAATAAATAGTCGGTATCTACTCTATTAAGCCAGACCTATTTCGCAAGACATCACCAAGCTGTGCATATGTAATATATTGTGTTTTGGGGGGCGTATTTACTTCAGGGTAGGAAATAGAAACAAAATTTTGAAGATAGTGATATTGCATTGAAAAGTCAGTAAGATACACACAAAATCAACCCTAAAGGAAATATGCGGTACCATTGCCTTATTTCTGGAAGATAGAAAGTAAAGAATCTCAGGTTGATGAAGAAACTGAAGATATGGTAATCCCACTCGACAACATGCAGAAATGGAAGTTTTCTTGTGAGGGAGAGTAAAGCCAGCTTTTGAGACAATATGATAGCAGGGGGTGGGCTGTAAGGAAGAGTTAAAGGATATGGCTAGGAGCAGCTATACAAGTCAGTCTCTTCCTCATAGCATGTTGTAGCAGTTGTTGATTTGAAGTGCTTTGTAAACTAAATTGAAGATTGAAATGAATAGAGAAAGACTTGGTATTGACCAAAGTGGGAAGCAGAATTCTAGATTGCTTCCAGATAGCTATAAAGGTCTGAGAGGGGGAAAGGCAAATTAACCAAAAATGTGTGTAAAGCATTAACCCTAGGTATATTATTCTGTTCACTTGTTCAAATTATGCTTTGTGCTTAGTTACTTGGCATACACATACACAATATCTTTTGGGAAAAATGACATTTATAATCACAACACAAATCCTCATTAGCTACCATTATATATTCATAGTAGTCTTTTGTTTGTAAACAAGAATGGACAACCAAGCATCATTGGACATTTGAGCCAGGTCAGTAGCAACCAAATGAACAACTGTGACAGAAAAGCCTGCTGTCTATTTTACTAGAGATTCATGGTCACTTAGTAAGGTAGAAAAGAGGCCTGGTGGTCTAGTAGGTTACGTATTTGGTACAGATTGGGAATTCAAATCCACTAGCTGCTCTGCAAGAAAAGATGAGGGTGTTTGTTTCTGTAACACTTCACAGAGCTTTCTAAGCCCATAAACAGTTACAGGAAACCCACAGGGGCTCGCTATGAGTCAGCATAGACTTGATGGCAGCAAATTTTTTTAGGAAACCCAAAGTAGCAATTCTGCTGTTCTATAGTTGCTGTGAGTAGAAATTGAATGGATGACAGTGGATTTGGTTTGATACATGTGTTTTTGATACATGAGTTTTTCTGGAGTCTAATATCAAGCCAGTGAATGCACTTCCAGCCACCTTTGCATCCAGGTGAGGTCACGTGAAATCTGAGCAGATATGATAAAATTCACCTCTTGGCCAAAGTAGTTAAGAAGCTAGCTTGTCTTCACTCTATCTCTTCTCCTACAGCTTACTTACTTTATTCTCCAGTGCCACCTTTTTAAAGAGGTCTCTGCCATCCCAACTCCAGCACTCTCTTAGCCCATTGCCCTGCTTTGCTTTTCCACAGAGCACCCTTGGCATGTGATCTTTATCCAATCTGTTTGCTTTTAAAAATCTGTCTTCTCTATAAGAGTAAAGGTTCCACAAAAACAGGTACAGTACTTTAATTTGATGCTGCTATATCCCCAACTCCTACAGCAATGCCTGGCAGATACCAAATGTTCAGCACATCTATGTGGAATAAATGAATGAATAAAGTTACAATAGCAGGAAAATGCATGTTCCTCTAGAAGCAGAAGCATACTCAAGATATCATTTACTCATAAGGAGGTTTATAGAGAAAAAAAATCCAGAAAAATTTGCTTGCTTCACATGTAAATAGGAGATGATGAAACTTTAAAATGTCGGAGGCTACAGTATCCTGGACAGCTTTGAATTCTTGTTGCACTCAAGCTTGTTTTTGTGGTATGCGAAACTTATGATTTCACAGCTATGGTTACAGTGAGAAGCAACAGGATGCTTAAGTACTCTCTGAGGGGTGCTGTTTTGTTAAGCTTTCAAATCATAAAGAAGTGTGAAAATTAGGTCACACCTCATGAAATTTAAATAACAAAACACTCTACCTAGATTAATAATACTGGAGTTCTACCACTGTATTTCATTATACATATGAGAACTAATATTTTTGGTTTAGTATTAGAACTTGAAGCTTTTATTTTTCCTTTTGTTTCATTTTTGGGTAACTGATGTGTTTTATTATTTATTCTAGTTTCTCAGAATGGATTGGAAAGATGAATATTCCTTTAATTCTTTTGACCTAAGTTGTTTGTTGAATTCATTCCCTGGAGACTTGGAGTTTAAGCAGATCTTCAGTGACATTGATGAAAAGCTAGAACAAAATGCTACAAGGTAAATATTGCTAATTATTTAAAACACATTGTTTTCCTGTTATTTACATGAAGTTTACCTATGCTAGCTTGAGTGTTTCTTGCTCTTAGATAATTTTACATTTGTAACTATTATTAAATTTATGGAAAAAACTGTTTATATCCTCCCCCACTCTTGGAATTTAACATGATTATCTGTATCTGGTTAATATTTTTAATAAAATTAGAAAAATATAGCTGACTACCTTCACATAAATAAAGTTTATTGAATTTCTGTGAATGGTTTCCTAGAGTTTGTCAATATTGATGTCACAGATTTTCATTAATACATTCAGAGTTATAATATTAAATATTTAAGTTTAAAAATAAAATGGGTTACTTGAGAAAACAGTATATGAAGAAACAATTGTTTTTATGTAACATTTACTATGTTAAATTCTCTTTCCACTTAACATCGAGACGCTAGGAACATAAGAGAATTGCTATGCCAATGTACGTTCCAGAAGGGACTCCAGAAGCCAGTGCAACTAAACACTGAGGGAGCAGGGACAACTAAGTAATTTCCTACTAACACTTATATATATATAAGGCCCCATGTTAGTCAAGTCCTATAGTCAGGACTTGAACCACTTCCTGATTAAAATGAAAGACTACAGCCTTCTAAAGTGATTACAACTCAATGTAAAGAAAACCAAAATTCTCACATCTGAACCAATACATGACATGATAAATGGAGAAAAGATTGAAGTGATCAAGGATTTCATTTTACTTGGACTTACAATCAACATAAGGAAGTAGCAGTAAAGAAATCAAAGGGCATAGCTTATTATGTTGGGAAAATAAGCTATACAAGACCTCTTTAACAGGTTAAAAAGCAAAAAAGTCACTTCAGGACTAAAGTGCACCTAACTAAGCCATGGTGTTTTCAGTCACTTCATATGCATATGAAAGTTGGATGATGAATAAGAAAGACTGCAGAAGAATCCATGGTTTTAATTGTGATATTGACAAAGAACATTGGAAGTACCTTGAACTGCCAGAAGAACTAACAAATGTGCCTTGGAAGAAATACAGCCAGAAGGTTCCGTAGAGAGAGGATGGCAAGGAAGATGTGTTATCAGAAAACACCAGTGTCTGGGAAAGGACATCGTGCTTGACATGCTTGACAAAGTAGAGGAAAAAGAGGAAGACCCCCAACAAGGTGAATTGACATAGAGTCTGTACATGGGCTCCAATATAGCAGCGGTTGTGAGGCTGGTACAGTACTGGGCAGTATTTCATTCTGTTGTACAGAGTCAGTGTGAGTTGGAGCTGATTCAATAATGACCTAACAACAGCAGCAGTATGAGGCAGTTTGCTTATTTGAATCATATAGTCACATTTCCTAATCATTCACCCAGTGTAAGTTAAAAATGTGAAAACCACAGTGAGACTGGACAGGAGAGCAAAATAAGACATCTAAAGCAGAGACAGAGGCAAAAGTGGTTCCATTGTAGGGTGAGAGCTCAGAGAAGCTCCTAACTTCAGAGACTGAGAATCAACACGATCTTGTAGACTACCTCTCGCCCTCAGGACTACATTTTCCAAAATTCCTTGACCCTGACATCATCTAGTGGAAACAGGTTCCCAGAATCTCGTGCACTTTACAGGAACCCTTAAAAAGCCACAGTACACACGGACAGGTGAAGAAGCCAGTATGTCCACTACAGATTATGGTTTCTCTAGGAGCTGGTAATAAAATTCTCAGGCATTGCCTCCATGTCTGACCAGTGTAAATCTTTTTCTTAGTGAAAGATAAGAACCTGATTCAAATAACATCAGTAGCAATTCCTAATTCATATTGCATGTATCTTTTTTGAAATCCAAAACCCAAGACTTAATTATATTGAAGTGTCATAGAAACCGGATGCAACAGAGGAATTGTCCCTCTAATGTTTCTTCCCTAGTGTTTTTCCACGAAAATACAGTTAACTCTTAACTGCCATAGAGTAGACTTCCATTTATAGCCACTCAATAAGTGCATAGTGTTTCTAAGGCTGTAAATTTCTACCTGAACAAATAGCCTCGTCTTTCTCCTGTGAAGCTATTGGTAGGGTAGAGCTTGTAGTTAGCATTGCACACTTACTCTATAGCATCACCAAGACTCCTAATAATGGACATAAATAACTAAATTCTTAAAATCCATGAGTGTTACAAATGGTTAAGCTCTTCACTATTAACCTAAGATTGGTGATTTGAATTTTCACCAGAGACATACACAGAAGAAAGGCCTAATGAAAACCTGTTCTGTCACATGGGGTCACTACAAGTTGAATAAGTTGATTTGATGGCACCCAACAGCAACAATTATACGATAGGCTGCCCATTGTATTTGATGTTGTTGTTAGGTGCCATTGCATTGGCTTTGATTGATAGTGACCTCACATGTAACAAACCCCAATTTGCTTAGTTCTGTACCATCCCTGCAATAATAATAGGTGCATTTGAGGCCATTGTTGAACAATCCATCAGTTGATCTTCAGGATCTTCTTTTCTCTCTGACCTTCTATGCCCCCAAGAATGGTGACCTCTGACAGTTGGTTCTTACTGATAACATAAGTGACTTCCGACCATTGGTTCTTCTTGTCATATGCAAAATAAGTGAGATGAGGTCTCACTATCCATGCTTATAAGAGCAATCTAGCTATCTTTTTTCCAAGGATTTGCTTGTTCTTCAGGCACCCCTTGGTACAGTAAATGTTGACAACACCTTAATTCAAATGCATCAATTCTTCTTTGGTCTGTCTTCATTGTTTAGCTTTCACTTGCATATGAGGCAAGTGAAAATACCATGGCTTGGGTTGGACACACCTTAGATATCAAAATAACATCTTTTCTTTTGAAGATTTTTAAATAAACAGGTTTGTGCAGCAGATTTGACCAATGTGATATGTCATTTGATTTCTTGACTGCTGCTTCCATGGATATATATTGTGTATTTGTGAAATAAAATCAGTGATCATTTATTTTCTCTGTTCTTCATGATGTTGCTTATTGCTCCAATTGCAAAGATTTGTTGGTCTCATTATGTTGAGATATGATGTATACAGACTTTCACTAGTAAGTTCTTCAAGTTGTTTTTACTTTCAGCAAGCCAGGTTGTGTCATCTACCACAGGTTGCTGATTCTTTAAATATCAATCCATGTTCTTCTTCTTGTAGTCCAGTTTCTCAGATTATTTACTCAGTATGCAAATTAAATAAATATGGTGAAAGGATGGATGTGTTAGGTTTCTGGAGTTGGTAATACCTCAGTTCTTGGCTTCACATAATGAAGGAATTCATGCTGAAACCCGTTTTGCAATCCAAGTGGATTTTTATGAAGGACAGGACAAGTTTCATGTCCACCCAAGTCCTGATTCACCATCCTAGCAAAGTAAGACCAATCTGTGTCTTGAAAATCCTTGACTTCAATCTTTTTTCTATTTATCATGCTATAATAGGTCATATAATTTTCTGATCCAAAAGACCAATAGTAGGCCAATTCAGCTCATGAATGCATCAGTTATTGATATTAAGGCATTCAATTTAATTTTTAATAATTACCAATATTTGATATTACATATATCAAAATATATTAAAATTTTGCATAAGCATGTATTTATATAATTTCCATTGTACTATGTATTAACAAATCATTTATCTAAATTGCAGAAATGCTTATATTTTTAAAAATTTAATATTTTTTTAAATTAACCTCTCTTCATAAGGATATTAAATTTCATCCAGATAAAGCTTGCTGGACTCTGGACTCTGATGCTTTTTTTGTATCCTGTTCAGCCATATGTACTTGGTTTCCTGCCCTACCTAAGCAATAAGAAATTGGAAAGTGATTAAAATATTGTATTTTATATTCATAAATTGTTATTTCAGTTGAAATTCAGATGTTAGTATTAAAGAAGTAAAATTTATTGTGGTATATAAGCATATAATTCTTAAATTAAAAATATTTTATTGCCCATATATTATAACAAACCTAGAGCAGAAGTACCTCAAGTGACCATTGATCTTTACAAGGGATAAAATAAGGAAGCAGCTGTATGTGCTGTATGCTACATTTAGAATCAAGTCCATTTTTCATCAAATTCAATTATGTTTTTATTATCCTCTAGAGAATAAACATAATAGTATAGGGTGTATATATTTTTAAAATAAAATACTGAATAATAACCATAGTTCAGAACAGTATAAATCATTTATGCACTCATTTATTGCCTTCTAACAGAATAGCTTTTAGAAAATAGTATGTCATGACGAATCAGTTATGCCACACTTACACTGCAGTAGTTGAATTACCTTTGGCTTTTTGTATTCTAACAGTTCTATTTATCTCCCAGTGGTGTACATTGAATAAATAATGAACATCTATATGATATGGGTTTCTCAAAATACTTTCAAAAGAAAAATACATTAGTAATCCATTTTTAAACATGGTATTTCTCCTTATACTTGAATTTTTAAAGTTGTATTTCTAGCAGTGGAGCTGACATCTAAACACGAATTCTTCCCCTCTTCTTAATATCATTGGGTTTTATGAGCCTCTAGGTCTTTCACTTTCCCAAAGCAGTGATTCATTGGAATGGAGAAGTGTGCCCAGAGGTCACTGACCTTCACCTACCCTTCATTTGAGGCTGCCATTCCCTTAACCATTTGTACTTTTACATTCCCTTTTTGATTCATGTCAGAGTTGGTGATTATTGGTGTGACAGTGGAAATCAGTGATAGGGAAGCACTTACTCTGAACTTGCAGGAAAATTAGTAACTGGAGGGTTAATAACTTGCAAAAATGAATATTGTGAGCGTTGTATCCAGGGACTTTGTTAATTAATTCAGTAAATGAAAACAACACATAGCAGTGACATATTTTTTAGCTAAATAAAGTTTATTATTAGTTTAACAAGACTGAAATAGAGAAGTTTTTTTGGGATCACAATATCTCATAAGAATTCTTTTTTACCACTTTAATGCTCAATGGAATAGATAC